AATCATAAAAAATAACATCTATATATCTACGTTTTATAGTGGGAGGACCAATGACAGAAGGATCTCAGGGAATATACGCGCTCAAGCAGATGAGGAAATGTGAGACGTGACCCGCAAGCCAACCGTCCAGAGTATAAGACTATATCGTCAAAGGGACAAGTCTCACAATGATGGACGTGATAATGAAAGTGTATATCCTCTGCTACCAAGTGGTCAAGATACACTCTGAACAACTTTGTCATTTGGTTCCCTCAAAGCGGGGCGAGTGCAGAAGCACCTGTCATAACCTCAGTATAAGTCAGTACACGTGACCAACCAGAGATGCGCAAGAAGTGCTGGAGGATTCAAGCCTGAAAACTGTTGGAACTCATTAATCATTAGTTAGCAATAGTGTTGCAATAATGTAATGAAAATGAGACAAAGTACAAGTAGTTACCATCAGTAATGTGATGTTGTATGTCATCAATTTCATCTTCCACATACAGCCTTCGGATAACAGAGTACAAGTAGACCAAACAAGTGGTCCCTCAGTTATACTCATGGATCCACTAAAAGTCTTCAAAGTATCGTAGTTAGATGATATCCACATAAGTGGCCCTCTTGCCGAAAAATATGGCAGTGCCAACAAAATACAAAGGGTATGCTCTCATAGCATACACTATATATTGCACCACATGCTCTTTATCACCAACTTGTGCTCTAAGTATCTCATATGTATACACCTTCTTCAAGAAACTAAACCTAACATGAGCCCCTCGGGTGAATTAAAACTACCTCATGGAAACCTCTGGTTAATTCCTAGATATGTATGCACCTCTAGAAATCTCATATGTATACACCTTCTTCAAGAAGCTAAAACTAGCATGAGCCCCTCATCTTTGGTAGATGAAATAATAACCTCTCAGTGTGCCATCTCTCTATAAACACATTAAGCATACCATGGTTAACTGTAATATAAGTGGTATGGCACAAGTCTCACATATTAGATAGTTGCAAAACTTCCTAAAACCATGACTCATTAGGCTGAGGCAGGCCAGTAATCTTCTACACAAGGTTGATGAATTTTAGCGGATCACGGTCCTGCATACATAGTTTAATAAGAACAAATCCAACAAACATAATTTAATATTACAATAAAATAGGTTCAAATCAATGAATCCAACTAAAATTTACATCTCCGTCCCAGATATGTCTGGTGATAAGTGTCAAATTATAGTTAAATTTGTGTATAGTTTTGTGGCACTTATTGACTATCAATAGTGGAACTTTTCCCTCTATTTCTAATGTACTCTACATTGAAGGTTTAATGCATAATTTGCTATCAATAAGTCAATTAAGTGATAATGGTTATGACATTATTTTTAATCAGAAGTCTTCTAAAGCGGTTATTTAGAAAGAAGGCATTGTTCTCTTCACTGGAAAGAGGAAAAATGATATTTATAAAATAAAATTATCTGATCTTAAAAACCAAGATGTAAAATGCTTAATGTTAATTAACGATGATCAGTGGGCATGACATAGACACTTGGGTCACATTATCTTAAGAAGGATATCTCAGATAAATAAACTTGAGTTAGTCAGAGGTCTACCTAAGCTGAACTTTACTTCAGATTCTCTTTGTGAAGCATGTCAGAAAGGAAAGTTTTCTAAAACTTCTTTCAAAACTAAAAATGTTGTTTCTACCTCCAGACCTTTGGAGCTTTTACATATTAACTTATTTGGTCCTGTTAAGACATCATCAATAAATGGTAAGAAGTATAGACTTGTCATCATAGACGATTATAGTCGTTGGACATGGGTAAAATTTCTAAGGCTAAAGGATCAGTCTCATTCCGTGCTCACTAGTTTTTGTTCACAAGTGCAAAACGAATTAAATTCTAAAACTGTTAAAGTCATAAGTGATCATGGAGGAGAATTTGAAAACATAAATTTTGAAGAATTATTTTACTCAAATGGCATATCCCATGATTTCTCCTGTCCTAGGACTCCACAAAAAAATGAAGTTGTAGAAAGGAAGAATATAACCTTACAGGAAATGGCCAGAACCATGATCAATGAAACAAATGTTACTAAGCACTTCTGGGCAGAAGCTGTAAATACAACGTGTTATATTCATAATAGAATCTCGATAAGACCTGTTATGGAAAATACTCAATATGAGTTGTATAAAGGAAGAAAACCAAACATCTCTTACTTTCATCCTTTTGGGTGCACCTGTTTTATTCTAAACACTAAAGAGAATCTGAACAAGTTTGATTTCAAAGCACAAAAATGTATTATGTTGGGATACTCATAACGCTCTAAAAGCTACAAGGTATATAATACAGAAACACAAACTATGGAAGAATCAATTCATGTTAGGTTCGATGATAAGCTTGACTCAGAAAAGTCAAAGTTGTTTGAAAGTTTCACAGATCTAGAAATAATCCTTGCAGGATCTGATGAAAATGCAAAGAGTTATGAGATGAAAATATGAGAAAAAAGAATCAAGATGATGAAATATCATAAACACAAGCACCATACATCACACCTATTCAGAAAAGGCAAATCAGAAATTACAAGTTTTTGAAGAATTGATTTTGGGAGATAAGACTGAACCTGTTAGAACAAGATCTATGTTTAAGAAGACTGAGGAATCACTTCTAGGATTAGTGTCTCTAGTAGAACCAACATCCTGTGATGAAGCGTTTCAGGAAAATGAGTGGATTCTGGCAATGCAAGAAGAATTGGATCAATTTTCCAAAAATGATGTATGGGACTTGGTACCAAAGCCTAAAGGAACTCATGTGATTGGAACCAAGTGGGTATTAAAAAACAAGCTCAATGAAAAAGGATAATTTGTCATAAACAAGGCCCGACTAGTTGCACAAGTTTACAGTCAACAATAAGGTATTGACTATAACAAAACCTTTACCCCATTCTCCGGGTTCAAATCTATTCATCTTCTAATCTCTTTTATTGTTGATAACAATATAATTCTATATCAAATGGATGTCAAAAGTGAGTTTCTAAATGGATATATTTCTGAAGAAGTATATGTACGCCAACCTCTTGGTTTTGAGAAGTCTGAACTACCAGAACATGCTTTTAAACTTAAAAAAAAAATCCTTGTACGGTCTTAAACAGGCTCCTAGAGCTTGGTATGAAATACTTAGCTCTTTTCTGGTGGAAATGGTTTCTCAACAGGGCAAGTGGACACTACTCTCTTCTTTAAAAAAATTGGAAATGATCTTATGATATGTCAAATCTACGTTGACAATATAATTTTTGGTTATGCTAATTCCTCTATTTGCAAAGAATTTTCTGAGCTAATGCAGGTAGAATTCGAAATGAGCTTAATGCAAGAATTGAAGTATTTTCTAGGAATTCAAATTCATCAAACCTCAAAATCTACCTATATTCATCAAAACATATATACAAAAGTATTTCCTGGATGAAGAATCAACTGGAGGATTTTCAGATATGTGAAAATGGCATTCCCATTTACTGTGATAACACTTCTGCTATTTGTCTCAGTAAGAATCCTATCCTATACTCCAGAGCTAAACACATACAAATTAAACATCATTTTATTAGAGATTATGTTCAGAAAGGGGCCCTCGTTTTGAAATTCATAGAAACAAACCATCAATGGGCGGATATCTTTATAAAATCGGGAGAAAAATCCCTATTTTATTTTATTTTTTAATGAAAAAAGAAATAATCTTTCCCCTCAGTTTTATAAAAGAATCGAGGGGTATATTTACTCAGTTAAACAACAATGAATCTATGTTATACATTCATAAAATAACAACATCCAAGATATTGTCAACACATTAATCCACAAGAAACGATCTACATTCAATAAGAACACGAACACCATCACTATATATCTAAGATGCTATCTTCTAAAACTCCAAAATTGATAATGAACGTGTTTGTCATGAAAACAATGAAAACATTGAAAATGAAAGCTTGAAATAAATCTTTGTGATGGATAGAAAGTGTATAAAAAATTTGTTCTAAAGTAGATGTTCTCACATAATAGATCATCTTTTTATAGGTATTTTATATTATGTATCTAAGATTTTTCTTATGTTATATTAAAAATTGGAAGCGTATGCAATCCATTAAGCTTGAAAAGTTTTGGGTATACAAATTTTGGATTTATTCAAAGAGATGACGATGAATCAGATTGTACTTATAGATTAAAACTAAAACAACGCAACATAAGAAACTTTGAATTGAATATTCTATATAATTTAATTATTCTGTGCAATCAATATAATTTAATATTTTTTGTAAACAATGTAATTTGTATTTAAAAAAAAAATTCTTTTCCCTCGATTTTTGACAGGAGTAGAGAGGTATGTGGCTATAATTTTAAAAATATAAAAATAATGTTTATTGGGAATCAAATTAATAATCATTTAAACTATTCCCTCGATCGATTTATTAGAAATCGAGAAATAAAATAGAAAAATTTTATGTCGTCCTACACTACTACGCTTGTGTAACCGAGGTGCAATCCATTTTCTGCCCAAGGTAAGATATATATATTTTTTTTTGTAGCAGTGATCTCAGCTTATGTTAACCATTTGTATTTGGATGAAGCATCAGTAGTGCTCTCTTTTAATCTAAAATTTCTTATAGGAAAAAAATCTATCATTTAATTCTAGTCTGTAATGAAATATAAAAAAAAAATTTTTTTTTTAAGGCTGCTTTATTTGTTAGGTTGTGAAAGCACTTATTTAATAGAAATCAAGATGCAAATATAGAATAGAAATCTAAGAATAAATTGACGAATAGAAAAACATTTCAAGCCTTTGAATTATTGGTAAACTAATTAAGAAAAATTAAAGATAGAGAAAACGTTTCAATATTTTTTTTCCTATTATTTGCCAAGTTTTCCAGTTTTTTAGTTTCACCTCAACTTTCATCACCTATATAAAGTTTCCCATTTTTCCAGATCTTCCATAATCACAAAACAACATATCCAAAAAAAATCATAGTAAAAGGATATGGTTTTCCCAAACTTGATGAACTCTAGGGTTTTGATCCTATGTGTTTTAGTTTTAGCAACTCGAAATTATCAAGCATGCGCTTTTCGTAATTATAAAACTTGGACTCCAAGTAATCCAAATAATCCAAAACATGATGAAACTTCCTTTAGGGGTTTATGCGCTGATTCCATCACTACCCAAGGATATAAATGCCAAGAATTTGAAGTAAGAACACCAAACATGTATGTTCAACAAATTAAAATGCATAATTTGCAATGGTTTTGAAATATATAATATATTAGAAGAACTTATTGAAGATGATCATATGTAAAAATAATCTCTAAGTTAAATGATTTTCATTATATAATATTCATGAGATATTATTGTAAAAGCTTTTCTTAGTATGAAAAATATTTTAGTCATTATTGTTGATGAAATATGCATTATTTTTAGGTTATAACAAAAGATGGATATATTCTTAGCATTCAAAGAATTCCAGAAGGTCGATCTGAGTTAAGTAGTAACGTGACTAAGAAGGAAACAGTGGTAATACAACATGGAATAATGATGGTAAGTAGGATCAATTATTCCATCAATTACATGTGTTTCAATTACTATTTTCATTCTTTCAAAATAAAATTAAAATTTATATTATATTATATTATATTATATTATATTATGTTCTTCACGTAAATTAAGGAACATTCATGCATGCATGGTTTATTATTGATATCTTATTGTTGAATTGGTTTTATGTAGGATGGATCATCATGGTTTATGAACAGTCCAAGCCAAAACCTGCCTATGATTCTTGCTGATGATGGCTTCGATGTTTGGATTACTAATACTAGAGGAAGCAAATATAGTCGCAATCACACTTCCTTAGACCCCTCTAACGAGGTTTTTTTTTTTTATCTTAAAAATAAAGGAAATTAATTTTGATGTTTTATTTGAATAATTTATCAAATTTGTCTAGTTATATACATTAGGCCATAAATTATTTCATGCAAGAAAACTTTCTATTATTTAGAAACAATTCAAAATATGTTACATTTTCTCAATTAATTTTTTATAGCTTTTTTATTAACTGAATTAACATTTGTTTTTCATGTAAAAAAATTTAGAAATATTGGAATTGGACTTCAAAATGTTACATTTTTTAATGATTGATTTTATGTTTTCATATTATATGTTTTATTTGTTTTTCTCTAAACTAACATTTGTTTTTCTATGTAAAAAACTGTAGAAATATTGGGATTGGTCTTGGGATGAATTGGTCAGTGATGAAATGCCAGCTATTATTGATTTTGTCTTCAACCAAACAGGGCAGAAGATAAATTATCTTGGCCATTCTTTGGTAATGTGTCAAATAAATAACATTTTATATTTAGTTATATATTTAAATAATTTAATACTAAACTTCAAGACTTTGTTTGGTAGGGAACTTTGGTAGCTTTGGTATCTTTGTCAGAGGGTAATTGGATAAATCAGGTGAAATCAGTAGCATTGTTGAGTCCTATTGCCTATTTGAAAAATATGAAAACTAAACTTGGAGTTATGAGTGCAAATTATGTATACGGCAAGGTATGAATAGTTTATTTGTAGCTTACAACATAAATGTTTAATAAAAAATAAGTTGTTTATGAATAAGTTTGCATAATCTCTTTTTATAATAAAAAATAAAATATATTTAAATTATTGTTATATATATTATGAGTTGTTTTGATCTTGATAAATGGTTGAGATCACTTACTGCATCAAAATTGTTTTTAATGTTTTAGAATATAAATTTTATATAATAGAAAACTTTTTCTAACTTGAGTTTTTTTTTTTTTTTAAAACAGAAATTTACTCCAAGGGACATTACTGAATTTGATCCCAAAGGGTAAGAACATTGAACTTACAATTTTATGTATCATTAAAAGTTTTTTCCTCATGTAATTTTATCATTAAATTTTTTTCCTCAAATTTCAAAATCTATTATTATATAGTATTACAAAATTATATCTATTATATACTTCACTTAATTTAGTATTTCATATTTTCTTTTCAATAATTATTTTTTAGACAAAGAGTCCTAGACTTTGTCGATGGTATTTGTAATCACTATGGACTAAACTGCAACAACCTGTTTTCTGCACTAACAGGTATGAAATTGTTTTCTCTATCAAAATTTAAATTGACACAATTTCACAAAAGTAAAAAATTATTATTTTTAATTATAATTAATATATAATAAATATATGTATTTCTCCTATTTTAGGTGAAAATTGTTGCTTAGATGAAGCAGCTTTTGTTCGATTCATGAAAGTTGAACCTCAACCAACGTCAAACAAGAACGTGATTCATATAGCTCATAGTAAGAAATATAGCTCTAACCCTAACTGAAACGATTTATGAAAATCGTTTCAGTTAGGGTTTCAACTTGAATATATGATTAAAAAAATTTTAAAACGTAATAATAACTATATGCTATAAATTTATGCAGTATTTTTAAGTGATAGTTTGGCGAAATTCGACTATGGGAGGCCTCATCTAAACAGGTTCCATTATGGACAACCAAAACCTCCGATCTATGACCTTTCAAACATTCCTAATGATATTCCAATTTTCATGAGCTATGGTGGTCATGACGCGCTCTCCGATCCCGTCGATGTTAATAAATTACTTAGTATACACTTTCAGAACCATGATAAAGGCAAGCTTAGTGTTCAGTTCATTGAAGAATATGCTCATGCTGACTACATGATGGCTGTAAATGCCAATGAGTTGGTGTACAAAAATGTTTCATCATTTTTCAAGCAGAAATTTTGACTCGTGAATAGTTATGGTGCTTAAGCTTCTCAATTTTCCCTAATGGAATCTTAGAAAGTATTGCAAATTTTAGGATATACTAGTATTATATATAGAAAAGTAGATTGATATAGCTAAACTCAATGTAAATTTGTCTATACATGTTAATATAAGTTTTAGGTTTTATGGGTGTTAGCATGTACACACACTTTTAAATTATTATTGACCTTTTCTCTAATTGGTAGAAGAATCTTTCATATTTGGAGTGGTCACACTCTTGATGTTCTAATACATGTACAAACTCATTCGTATTTTTTTTCTTTGATTAAAGTTTAATATAAATAAAGCAAGTATTATGTGAAAGTGAAAAAGGATCTCAATGAAAATTGTTATTAAGACATTATAAAATGAGTTATAAGATAATAGCTTTCAATATTTTTATAGAATAAATTCTAGTTTTTAGTATAATTGTTATAAAGAGATTATAAGATGAGTTATAAAAAAATAACATTCAATATTTTTATGAATAAATTTTACTTGAAAATGTTTCTCAATCTCATCAACTCTTCATATATAAATTACAAATAAAATGTGTCTAAAGTGTTTCACAAATCCATTTGATAATTCCAAAGGCCGCAAAATTTCAAGAATGAAATCGTAGGAATTTTTATCATTGCTTTCACTAGGATATCTACATCTTATGCAACTCGTAATTACAGCAAATGACATAAAATTATATTTATAACTACTGAAATCCTTAAATTTAAATTCATCCCAAAACATGACCCGTCACTAAATGGATCAGAGAACTAAATTGACCTGACTCGATACACTCAAACTGCTTGGTCGTTCGCTAGAAAACTAGAAGTAATTAAATTTATTTTTCTCTCTTTTTTCTCATTTGAGATTTAAGGCATATTACAAAATTTTGTTACCTTGATTTTAAATCTATGGTGATGCCAATTTAACCATTAACTATCTTGTTACTCTCCAAATCTATGATAATGCTTAAACTTTGATCTTGACAATGATTTGATGAACATGTCTATTGAATTCTCTTTTAAGGGAACCTTTTGAATTAGAATCTCCTTTAACTCAAACATGTCTCTTATAAAGTGAAAATGAATGTCAATGTATTTTTGATCTTATGGTAAACTTGATGATTAGTCAAGTGAATGACACTTTGACAATCATAATTTATCTTTACATGTTCTTGAGTGATCCCTAACTCCTTAATCATTCCTCTCATCCATATGGCTTTCTTGACTATTTCAACAAGGGAAATATATTTTGCTCGAGTAGCAGATAACACAACCACATATTGTTGATTAACCTTCCAGATTAGAGTTGTCCCAAACAACGTAAACACAAAAACATGATAGGAATTTTCTAGTCTCCATATTACCTGCATAAGTTGAATTTATACAACCCTCCAATTACTCTTCCTCTTAATTTGACTTTGTATACTTTAAGAAACCATTGAAATACGTCAACACTCACTTCAAAGCTTTCCAATGAATCTGACCTGAATTTTTCACAAATCAACTTATTATGTCAACTACATATGTTAAATTTGATCTACTATAAATTATAACATACATAATTCTTCCAACCCCACTTTCATAGAAAATACTCTCTATTATATTCTTATCTTCTTAGGTATAACAACATTGTTTAACTAAAATATTTGTGTGAATACCAAAACGAGAGTAGACAATTTTAGCATCTTACATTTATAATTGGTCCACCACTTTTTCAAGTAATTAGATTAAGATAAGAAGAATGCATTCTTCTTGAAGATATATTCTAATCATATTCATCGATCCTTAAAATATCTTTTATCTCAAATTCACTATTCAAGATCTCTTTGAGCTTACGAATCTCTATCTTGTTACAGCTTGCCATCAAAATATTATCAACATACATAAGAAAAAAGATAATGACTTTTTCATTCCTATTTAATATGTATACATAATTGTCATAGTTACTTTTTTATATAAAAATAACCTATTTAAGAAGAAATTCATAAAAATGACGATGCCATTGCCTTGGGCTTTATTTTAGTTCATACAAAGATTTCCTCAACAAACATACATTAGCATTATCTTATGTGAAACTTTCAGGTTACTCCATGTAGATTTCCTCTTCATGGTATCGATGTAAGTGTTTACTTGGAAATTTAGAAAACAAAAAAAGTTTGAATTCACTTAAGGGATTAAACTCAAAAAAAATCCAAAGATATTGTGCAAAGGTTCAAATGTTTGAGATTGCTTGACATCAATGTCGAAATCATGCAATGTTTGCGAAAGAACTTGAAATACAGTAAAATAACTAGAATATGATAAAAGTACTTTAAATGCAATAAAGTAACTTGAATGCAATAAAATAATTGAAAAGATAAAGAACTGAATTTATAAAATGGAACGCAAAACATACACTTTTTGCACTCGTTTCTCTTTACACTTGGTACTTTGAGTATATAAAATTTGTGTGTAAAATTATGAACCCTAAAACCTTAAATTACTAATGCTTATATACAAGTACTAATATAACTATCTACAATGGTCGACGTAAAAAACCATGTCATGTTTCCAACGCCATGCAATCTTCGTCTTCATAAGCCTTACACGTGTTGTTGAGTAACTGTCTGATTTTATCGACTTTTGAATGTCTTTGACGCAACCTTTAGACAATTTATTAGAAACATGAAATTTCATTAAGTCCAAAATGTATCTTTGGCCTTCCTTGATGAATCTTCAACCAATTTTGTATTTATCCTTCGACAAGACAACTAAAAAAAAACCATGGTCAAGCTTGGACCATTTCGACCTGAAACTGAACTATTTCTCATGATCCTTCAACCTTCCAACCTTAAGACTTGTGTCGAAAATCTGAGGTAACAATAAGAGATCTATTTTGATGTCCATATGTTCCATCTCAATATTATATTAATTTACAATAGCCATAAGTACCCTTATAGAATAATGTTTTACCAAATGAGAATATATTCATTGTAATCAATCTCTTTAACCTGAGTAAAAACTTTTTGCTACAAGTCTTTCCTTAAATCTTGGTTCTTCAATTCCTTAAATACCTTTTATCATCTTGAAGATCAATTTCCATATAGCCACCATTTGTTTCTTATGTTATCTCACAAGCTTCTAAGTATGATTCTTCATCAATGAATGCATCTCATCATATATCTCCCTCAACCATATTTAACTTTATTTGCTTTTGACTGCTTCTCTGAAGGTATTTGGTTTCGATTCTCGGAACCCTTCAACCACGTTTTAAGCATAAAAAATAATATCAGCATAATCGTACCATTGAGTTGGTAGAATCTCTCTCATAACTCTATCATGAGCCAATTGATAATTAGTAGTCATTGTAGGTTTCCCTTCAATAGTATTGGAAATGGAAGTCTTACTTATATCCTCATTTCTAGTCTCTCTAGTAGGAACATCATAGCCTACATCATAGACCCTTGAGATCCTTGAAATTGTTAAGGAAATGCTATGGAATGATGTCATGATGTGTATGTTATGCACCAAGCAAAAGTGTAAGGGGATGAAGACAAGTGAGTCTTACAAGAAGTCCAGGTTATTGGATAATGACTACAAACAAGTCCTTCAAGGAACTCACAGTGTTAGATGATAAACAAAACCCTAATAGTAGTTCAAGTTGTTAAATAGTGAAAGCAAACAAGTCAAACAAGTAGCCTTAGGTTCAAAGGCTTGCATGAGGTTTAAAGGTAAGTACCCTCTTGAAGTTTAGTTGGTTCAACCTGTCTTAGAAAAGTAAACGGGTTCTAAGGAGTCTCAATATCACTGATCATTCTTTATCAGACATTGTTTCAGCTCAGGCGATCTTTTCTTGCGGCCGAAATATCCTGAAAATCCGATCTCAATGAGTGTAGCATCGAGTATCAACCAATCCTCAGCTTTATACTGAGGCCGGCTATCTCACTACTTTCTAATGGCCAAGTTTGTTCAACTAAGGTTCTAAGCTCCATTAATGCTTTATGACACCACACAGCGGCCCCGTATTCTCCTAGATTTAACACAAGGCATACCAGAACCAATAAATGTGTCACACTAACGCAGCTATCTCTTCAACCATATCGGTCTACGTCGTACAGTCTCCATGATCTATTGCTACTTACCTAAAAAGGTGCCCCAAATCCGGGTGTAGGATCTTTTAATAACAACCCAAACAATTCCTCCAAGATAAATCATATAAAACACACAATGTAAAGCAAATAAAGAATGAACTAAACTCTAAGGTAACCCCACTTTTAATTATTGATCCCCAACAGAGTCGCCAGTTCTGTAATACGGTGGCAGAACTGACTGTTATATTGGTTTTGCGTTTGTATTTGCAAATGTTGCGCTAAGCAAGAGTCGCCACCGACTTTTCTTTTATCCAACAAAGGAAAGGGTGAAAAGAACGGAAAAAGACCTTTCAAGATTATTTCTGAGTAAGGGGGGGGGGGGGGTAGATTATGGAAATGGAAGGTGTTAGCACCCTTTCCGTCCGTAGTTATCTACGGGCTCTTAGATGCTTAGCTCATTTTGAAATACCTTGTTCTTTGCGTGTTTTGAAAAGTATTTGAAATGCCAATAGTAAGGCAATTTGTTTTATGATAACTCTTGTATTAGTCCTCAAGAGTGTTGATAAAGCGTTTCGAAGATGTTTTTGTAAGAAGTTTTGTGTAAGTGTAAAAATTGTTTGAGCAAGCATCTAACAGCTATCTATTTTACTTGAAAGGATTGTTCTTTTCCTCTTTTCCTTTAGACAATTCTATCCTACTATTAGTGAGTAGGTAGCCCTAGTCATTGGATGTTTGAGGGACATTTGAAGGGACGTTTATACAGTCACAAAGGCAACCGGGCAAGAAACTTTAGTAACTACCCTAAGGTTTTAAGATCATACCGAGGCAACATCGAGAGGGTCATTGAGGGACTTATGATCTTTAAACTGGAGGGTAGCCACTAAAATCTCTCACGTTTTGAGAGTTGTGA